ATGGAACACATCTTTAGTACAAGAATAGGAGACTAGACTTTCTGAGGGTCTTCAGAATTATTTCACAGAGGTTCATTAAACACATGAATGCAGAATCTAAGCATACATTTTTTTTTTATCTCAGTTTGAGGGTTTTTTTTTTTTTTAAGCAGATATGAACACCACACAGAGACAGAGCAGGAAGACTCCACTGAAGAGGAGACACACGGCAACTAAGTAAACAATTCACCAGAAACCTGTAGGGTTACCCGTCGCTTCCCGAAGCATCAGACATTTCCCCGTCACCCAATGCAAAGGCACCATACAATAGTTGCATTGATTATCTTCACACGTCCAGGACAGTACAACTCACAACAATAACTCTTTCTCAAAAATACAACTTCCATCCTAATCCCAAAATAAACTCTTTCTCTGGATAGATAAAATAACACGTGTTTTCAATGAAAGCAACATTGACACTACTGGGCTGACTGACATAAATCATATTAATGGAAAATCTTAAAATATATAGGCATAATTCCAATCTTGAGGTTTATAAACATCCCACCTTGACATAATGAGAACTTGCTTAAAATAGAAGTAAAATTGAATTTGGCAAAGCCTCTATTCAACTAGCACTCTGAAGAGATTATTTCTCAGATCTGAATTTTCTAATAGAATATAACAAATTCACACAAATGTCACTGAAGATAGAATGAATGTTTTTTCATGCCAGTGTCACTCACCCTTGCCTGCCTGTACCCCCTCCCCCAAGGCTTTTCAAAATGTATTTCATACACAGAGTCACTGTTCTGGTTGTTTATTTAATTAACATGACAGCCCAGCATACACAGCATTTCTTTCAGTTCTACAGCTTTAACTTTTTACACTTTCGACTCCATACAGAAAGAGTAAAATTACTGTTTTCACTCCTTCCAACCTCTGTAAATTTATATAGATTCACTGACTATTTATGTCACTTTAAAAAGTTTTTCACTATGCTTTAAATATCTGTATTCACAAAGTAAAATCACAATTTTTGTCCCCCCTCACAAAAAAAAATTCTCTTCCTTCACCTTTCCAAAGGGATAAAGAAATCTTGTTTTCCTTTTTCAGTATTTTCAGAAGTTGACATTAATCAATTTTAATTCTGTCACCAAGTCATAAGTAATCTATACTGCTCTTTGAATCACCATAAACTGAGTAACACTGCTGAAATATGGAAGCTACAATTTAATTGAAAGTCCATGATTATTTCTGAAACTTACCTAATTTGAGCTATATGTTATACTGAAAGACATTTTGGATTTAAACAATGTATTCTACCTTTTGAGAATAAGCAAGTTTTTGGTCAAAGAATAACAATGCCTCCCATCCATTGCCAACCATCAAACACCATACCAATGTCTCCTATTTTTGCTTTGCTGCTGTTTGCCTTTTTACTTAAGTTTCTAACATCAGTAATAAAAAACTTGACTCTTCTTTTGATAACTAATTTTAGTTTTTAATTACATAATAGAAAGTATATATCTACACATTTCTGGATGATGTTCTATCTATAACAAAAAAAATTTATTAAGTGACACAAATGCATTAATGGAAACAGTCATATGCCTTGTGTTTATCTGAAACCGCAATTCAACATACTAAATTTTTCTTAACAGGTAACTAAAATAAAATTACATTGGTTTGAAATCTTTCAAAAGTGAATGTGTAAGGTGGTCTCAGTAATTAAGAGGAATGAGTAGCCAGTTATCTCTCTTTATTTACCAAGAGAATGGAGAGATACCCCTTCAAATACAATTTCCAAAAGCAAAAAAAAAAAAAAAAGGAAAGAAAAAGAAAAACTAAAATTTTACATTGAAAAATAACATACTAATCATGCATAATATCTAATAGTCCAAGAAAGTCTAGGTACATCTGTATATTCCCATGTTTGGGGCTGAGGTAATTTGAGAGAGACATATCTGCTCTGGGATGTGAAAGTCCACTTAGAAAAGATACGCACACCTTAACAGACACTTGCCTTCTTAACACTGGCAGCCAGAAAAGTAGTTTGACACACTCATCTACAAAATCAGCCTCAGTACTGCGGACACTGGGTTGTCAGGACTAAACTAAATGCCAAACAAACTTTATAGTTCTTTAAAGCTTAAAGAACTATAAACTTTCTTCTTTCCTGAGAATAAAGATATTTTCACTTGCATTCAGAGACACCAGTGCTATAGGCTTAGAGTTCTTAAAAGGAAAAAAGGGAGAGAGAGAGAAACATGTATCTGTCAGTTGGTTTCTCTTATGAGAATTTTATCATATATTCTCTTTGCATTTTTAGAACTGAGGGTCACTGAAGAGGGATAGTTCATAAGTAACCAGCCACTGCCATTCATACAGAGAAGAAAATGATGAAATTCTCTCACCTGTAAACCTCACAATGAGCAAAGTGCAAATAAATTGTCAAGAGGACTCTGACAGACTGCTTTCAAGTTCTGAAATGACTACTTAAAATTCACTTGTTGCCTAATGAGTATTGTCTTGAGTCAAAAGTAGACATTTCTTCAGAAAAAAAGCTGACTGACATTCAGGTGAGTGTTACATACTTATTTTATACTTATTTTGATTTTTAACTTCACAAAGTATGCAAATGACAGTGGTACACTTTGCACCCTTAATCAGAAGTTTGTTTCCTTATGATAAAACAGATAAGCCATTTACTATGTAGCTCCTGAACTTTTCACACAGTAAGGTTAACGTATATGAGATGCTGTCCTATCTTATAAGATAGTGCTCTATGTTAGTTTCCACCCACTCTCCACAATTATGCTCAGCAACAACTTTTAATGGGTCATATGTAAAAACTAGTCTTCAGTGACACACACACACTCACCCACTCACCCACTCACCCATGGCCTCATTAAAACTTCAAGTATCTCAATATCTGCTAAATGTATTCTTGTTTTTCTACCAACCATAAGACATAAAGTTTCTCACTTTAGAATAATCTTCCCTAATACAGCCTTCAAAAAAAAAAAGTGACCAAAGAAAATTACAGAAATAGATTGCAATTATGCATTTTCCAACAGCATTAATCAGCAAAACATTAAATATGTAATGCTTATTTTGATAACTTTGCAGATAATTCCAATTCTCCATTTATCAATTTAAACCAGAGAAAACCAATAAAAATGTGTGGGTTAATTAACGCTGCCAGTTAATTCACCTAACCACCTTCTTCACTTAAAGCCACCTTAATTTCTTATGAATGTTAATATAACATTTAAAAAAATTAATTCCACAGGGTAAATGATATCAATTTGGAATCAATTTATTTGTGATTAAGTCCCACGTTTTCCTTAGAAATTATGGTTGTGAATTTTGCAATAGTCACATTTCCCTATAAGTTAATGAACAGTGTATTCTGAACATACTTAAAGCTGTGGTGTTTTCATTTAAAAGACATTCTCCCATAACTGTGAAAAGAAATCAAAATGGTTAATTTACCCTCAAAGAGATAACTTACTTTATTATAATGATTTCCAATTTTATACCAAAACTAAATATCAGTCAGTGGCCTGTTTTCTCCTCCACTTAGAGTAAGCTTAAACCCAAGAAACATTTGTTTTATCTAAACAAAAGTAAATAACTACATTTGCTTTAAAATAAAGAGACTATGATGCTGTCATCTACTCTGCTAAATAATGTCAAACAACCATAGATCTGTGTAATCGACTCCATTTCAGAAACAAACTAGCCACCCACACCAGGTAGTGACTGCTATATCTTAGAAATACCCAAATGATTATCCACAGAATAACCCTAAAGGAAAAAGCCTACTTTGTCTTAGGATATTCTCTTGCTCCCTAAAGTTGTTCTAACAGTACCATAGGTACGCACAAATTTAATGGGAAAAGTGTAAATTTCCACCACTGTATCCAACCAGCTCCTCCTCCCCATCAAGTGTCAAATCCACTTCAACTAGAGAGGTGAAGAAATCTGCTTCAAATAGAGAGGCATACACTTCAGTATGCCTTTTCAGCTACAGTATGCATTAAAAATTGGGATTTGTTCTCTTATGCCCTTTATAGCAACTATTTCATCATTTTAAATCATTTAATGATAATAAGGAGACTCATCCCCAGGACTGACTAAAGTTTTATTTACAACTTCACTTAAAATCCCAGGTTTCTCCTCCTCCCAAGTTGTGGGAAGATATGCATCTCCAGCAATCTTAGAAATGGTCTCCCAAATTAGTATTTTCTGTAAAATCTGCATAAATCCATGTGAATTTATAAATATCCACTTAAGTATGCACATACTAAAGAGAACTGTTTTGTTTTTATTTGACACTAAAGCGCAGTTGACAATTTTGAACAATTCCAAAGTTCAGACATATTATTCCCCAAGCTGAAGTTTGTGATACAAAACACGCTAGCATGTAATAATATATGCCCCTAAATTATATTTAAAAACAAATTGGGCACCATCAGCTGAAGTCTCTCCAAATAAAACTTACTGCAAAACCAGAAAGTATCAATTCCTCACCTTCAAGCATAGCTTGCTTTGCTCTAAAATCTTTTTACTGGTTTTCATAAATACTTAATATCATTTCATTAAAAAGACATTTTACTTTTTAAAAAGTAGAAGTCTAGTAAAATCACTCACTGCTAAAAAACTAAACTTAATTCTAAAATTTCTGCTAAGGAAGGAAAGGGTGAGAGTACTTTAAAAAGCAGGCGAGCCATACACCAGGTGTAGCAGATCTAAAAATTTGGCTCAGCTGTGGAAAACCCTACAAATGCCATCTAGTTTTATTACTCAGTCGTGTTTCGGTTGTTCAGGTTATAAAACTACTATGTGAAAGAGAGGGAAAAAAACCTGCCAATTTCTTATCAATTCTGAAGTTAGACCACTTTTCCAGGCTATCTTCCCTTTAGTTCCCAGCGCTCGGATTCTCTCCACTCTGCGCGGGTTCCCAAGTGTTTCAAGTTTCCCCCAGAGCCGAGAGAGGAGTTGACAGTGCTTACCTGTTCCCTCGGTATACAGGGCAGGGAGGTCCTCCGATGGGACTTGCTGCTGCAGCCGGACATCTCCGCGGACACGACGGAGCTGGACCGCCTCCTCCTCTTAAACACCGGGATATCTTCCCTGGTCCCAGCAATCAGCTGGGACCCCAAATGCTCCCTTGGAGCCGCCTCCGCGGACTGCGGCAAGATTTGTTCCGCGTACCTGGCCAGGAGGATCCCCAGCAAGCCGGCTAAGTACGCCAGGTAAGGTCTCCAGGCGACCTTGAACCTCTCCAAGGAAATGAGGGACACGGTCCTGACCGCGCTAGTCAAGGCGATCATGAGGACGCCCAGCCTCAGCCTCAGCACCAGCCATGTCGCGGCGGCCAAGCAGCTGAGCACCACCCCCGCGGCGGGGAGCGAGAGTAAGTGATCCTCCCCGACGCCCAGCCCAATCTGGACGAGCGCTTCCCCCCCGCAGCAGGCGGCCAGCAGCGCGACGGCCAGAGGCAGGCGCACCCCGGCGCGCAGGAGGTACAAGCCCATCCAGAAGAAGGCACACAGGAGACTGAAGAGCAGCGCCGAGGGCTGCAGCCAGGGGCTGAGCCGCGCGCCGCCCCCGGGAGCACCTCCCCGAGGCCGCGGGAAGACGCCCCCTTCTGCTCCCGGGGCTGCTTCCTCCTCCTCCGCCGCCGCCGCCTCCTTACATTGCTCTAGGTCACAGCCGACCTCCGCGCGGACCAGCCTCACCAGCAGCGCCAGCAGAAAGGACAGGGAGCCCGCGCACAGCGCGGAGGAAAGTTTCCGAGAGCGCCGGAGCGGCTGCAGCACTAGGTCTCCCCAGCAGCCACGGCAGCCCGAGTCGCGCGGCGATGCGGGGTCCGCACGACGGTGGCAGTCCCGGCCCGCCTTCGGGGCTTGGCTCACCCCACTGTAGACGGGCTTGTCCCTGACTCGTGCTGCGTCGCCGGGCACTGCCATGGTATGGTGCCCTCTTCACGAATCCCCAGTGGTCCCCCAACACCCCCGCCCCGACCCACACGCGCGCGCGCGCACACACTCACACACACAGATACACCGCACTGTCTCCCAGTTCTACTCTCGGAATCCTTCTTTTCCTCAGGCCCACAATCCACTGAAAGTTTCAGCTTTCGAATAACTCCTGGAGAATGCTAGATGCTCCAGTGAGACTTCAAGTTAAAAGCTAGCACGCTCAAGTTCAAAGCAAGCACGGGCAGAAACGATCAGGATTCCCCTTTTCTCTCTTTGAATATCTTTTACAGATTCTCGGCTCCACCCCCACCCCCAACTTATGTCCTCCGGGGTCTCTCCCTACTTCAGGATTTCAAAAATTGCCCAATGCATCCCGCGCGCAGGAGCCACTGACGCTGGAGGAGCCGGGGGCGCAGGGCGGGCTCCGGGCCATTCCGAGGCGCAGCTCCGCGCCGCCAGGCAGCGCGCCGAGCCCGCGGCAGATGGAGGTCTCCCTTCTCTTCTTTCCTGCAGCTCTTTTTCTATCACTCTTTCTTTCTCCTCGGCCGATTCTCCCCGGCACGGCCCCAGGACGCGAATCGCCATTCCCTGGGGCAGAAAGCAAAGCCTCCCCCGCCTCTGTCAATCCAATTCATGGCAAAGGATAGAAAAAAAGAAAATGGAAAAGGGGCTGAGAAATTAGAAGTTGCTAAGTCCCGTCGGAGAGAGAGAGACGGAGAGACTAGCGGCAGCCGCAGAAGGGAGGGAGGGAGAAGGAGCGAGCAAGAAAGGAAGGGAGGGTGAGAGGAAAGGGAGGGTGAAAAGGGAGAAGGAGATTTGCTTTTCTTTTTCTAACCCCCCCCCCGCCCCCCGCCAACCACCACTTCTTTTTGGTGCAAAGTTGGTGGTGATTTGCAGTTTTGCAAACGAAACGAGTGGAGACGACTGCTTAAAATTGTATAAAACTGGCAGCTGGAGTGATCGACAATTCCGCTTTCTTTCTTTAAGGCAACTCCCTAGGAAAGCTTTCTCAGCTGAGCTCCCGCCCCCTCCTCCGGAGGAGGCGCTACCCTCAGCACGATTGCTCCTTTGTGGGGAGAGCGGCCGGTTCACCCTACAGGCTGGAACAGGGGCTGCTGAGGCCGGTCCACCGCTCAGCCCACCGCAGCCCAGGGATGTGCGGGGGACTGCGGCTGGCCGTGAGGCTGAGCTCCCTAGGACGTTGGAGGGAAAACAAACAAAAACAAGATTGTGTTTGGCTATTTGGCAGATGAGAGCCAACATACTTTCTACTGTCACTGACAATGACAGCCACTTCCACTATCTGATTCAAAGATGTTCACAGGTTCCCAAGTCAGGTACAACAGTAATCCAATTTCAGGTGACACTGTAATGCTTTGGTTGCTCCTGCTGGAGTGTCTGTTTTCATAAGAGAACCAAAGCATGGCCTGTTGGTTCAAATGATGAAAGAATCCGCCTTACCTAGACCACAAGAGCATAAAGAGAAGGGAGGGAGAGGCAGAAGTCATTTAAATTCAATATATGAGTATTACACAACAGTTTTTGACTGTGGAAGGTAAAATTACATTGAGTTTAAGTAACCGTACCCTCAATAAAGGTTAACAAAGTTTAAAAGCCCAGATAGTTCATCGAAAAAGAAATATCTCAAGGGAGCGGTGAGGACAGGTGGGTAACACTAGGAGAGACCTTAGAAGACTGCCTATGACTGCAAAATAGTACATTTACAAGAAAAGCATATGACAAATATCAGGACCCTAATGAGTAGGGGTTCATTTACTGCAGCAGTATGATATTTCAGAAACTAACAAAAATGTTCAAGCTCACTTTTTTTTTGGCAGTTATGAAAAAGAATTCAATATCTATTCAATGACTTAAACTCTATTGATTGCCTTCGGATCTAGTTGTCTTTTTAAAACTAAAACAAGAATATGATACTCCACTTTTAAAATGGCTATCTTAGATGTCATTTGCCCTCACTAATAATAATCTTAATAATAATCCAATTTTGTCTTAATTATGTTGACATTTCAGGTTAAAGTGTATTTACAGCCTAGAGCATTTAGATAATTGATTCAATATGCCACTGTATTTTGTATGTAGGCATGAAGCAATAAAAAAGCCAAAGGGAGATCCTTGAGATAATTTATGGGGACAGTGGGAGAAAATGGTTTAAGTTTTAAACAGCTTCATGGGAAGCAGCCTGCTCTAGTAAGAGGCAGGTATCAATATCATGACATAAGTAGATATGAGGAACTGTAATGGTACAGCTTCTCTCTGTCAGATGTCCAGAACTGTGCTACCACACAGGAGTATGAGTTGGGCAGCTAGTCAATGGCAGTGGGCACCATCTGTTTAATAATTAAGGAAACAGGAGCAGCAACGTCTTTGCCAAAGACAAATGAGCCCCCTAGCATGCGCACATACTTTCATGAGTTTAGTTTTTAGACATATGATTCATATGCCAGATCCTACCTGAGACACATTGGAGTGAAAAACGATTGGAAAATCATTCATATCTGTTGGAATCAAAAAGAACATTAAATTAATAAACTGTAAAAGCCTGGCATATATCAAGGTTAGAAAAAAAAAACAGCATAGTAAGGGAAATTTTTGAATATTTCAATTTTGTCTGTCCCCTACCCCCACGATGATCTCAGCTCTTACAATAACATCTGGCACTATTCAATAAAATAAGGAGGCAATGTCCTGGCATCCAAGTTTCTTTAGGAAATCATAATCAAAAAGTTATTTATCCCACCAAAAGAAAGTAAATTTTTCCCCCCATATTATCCAGAACCCAGAAGCAAGTGAACAAAGACAATAAAAATCTCTTTAATGTTAGAGAGATGCAGAAACCTGCAGGGCTATACTAACTGAAAGAAGTGACTAATAATGTACATTTAACAGTATGTTAAATGAAATACATAAGCTGCAATACATAAACTGGACAGGGTGCAATCACATATAAACACTGCCCATTTTCTACAGATAGTGGTGAGTCCTAATTCAAGAAAGTGACAACACAGCCAAAGAATAAGGAAAATGTACATGTAGAAAAATAATAGAGCATGGACAACAGAAATAAAAATGTAAATTTTACTTGATAAATCTTCCACTTAGCCAAATCTAGCCAGCATTTTTTTATTAGTTTTTTGGGAAGAGGATCTAACCCTATCACATTTGAGCTTTATTAAATATAGTTAATCGTCAGGGAATTCTATTGCAAAATTCAGAAAGTTTATGTTTCATAGTATGGGTTCAATCAATGGGTTCAATTCTCTGCTACCTATTTGATTGTTATATATTTATATCCAATAGTTACCTAAAATATAGGGTGTCCAAAACAAAATCCTTAACTTACAATTCCCTTCCTCCCCGTCCTCAACCGACCAAACTACTTTTCTTCAATCTTGTTACATTCCAGTAAAGAACATAACCATCTACCTAGTTGCTCAGGCCCCAGAAAAGGGAACTGCTCTTGATTCTTTCCTTTGTCTTGCTTTACTTGTAGCCTATTAGGAAATCCACTTTATCCTGTTTCTAAAATATATTCTAAATCCATTTACTTTTCACTGTCTCTCTTATAATAACCTACCAAAGACCCACCATCTTCCTTGGACAGGCCAACTGCAGTAACTAACTGATCTTGCCCTACTTATAATTCATTTTCTATATAGCAGAGTAATATTTTAAAAATATAAATTGAATGATGCCCCTCCACTACTTAAAACTATCCAAAGGCTCCCCATTGCGCTTGCAGAATCCAGTCCTCATCACAGTCCTCATGATAGTCCTACAAGGACCTTCATGATCTTTCCAAGTCACTCTCTCTGACCTCTCCTCCTATTCCAATGCTGCTACATCACTGGTGACGCACTATTTATTAGAACTTACTTCAATGACAAACAGGCCCTCTGCTGTTCAGTATGGTAGCCACTAACCACATGTGGCCATTGAATACTTGAACCATGAGCTGAACTTTTGTATTTTATTTTATTCTAATTTAAATTTAAATTTTAATACATTCACTTGGCTAGTGTCCACAGTAATGGAGAATGCACCTCTTATACCTCAAGCCGCCTTTGTTTTCTTCATGCAGGTGAAATAGGAAACCTGTTCAGGACCTTGGTATCCAGAGATTTTCACATAGCTGCCCACTTCTACTCCACCAAGTCTAATCTCAAATGTTACTTTATTTTAAAAAGGCTTTTTTTCCCAACAATCTTATCAAAAACTTTTGGGTCACCCCATGTGCACGTAAACACTCTTTCACTATCACATTACCCTGTTTCATTGTATTTATAGCACTTATCACTATACAAAACGGTCTTGTTCATTTATTTGTTTTCTCACTTATCATTTATCTCTGTTTACTAGGGTGTTACTGCCATGTGAACAAGGACCACGAATGTCTGTCCTATTTGCTGTGTACCTCCAATTACCAAAATAGTCCCTAGCACATGGTAGAAGCTTGTCTTAGTCTGTTTACTGTTGCTATGAAAGAATACCTGAGATTGGGTAGTGCGTCATTTGGTGATTTCATCATGTGAACATCCCAGAGTATACTTACACAAACCAGACGTGTCAACTATTACACACCTCAGTTATATGGTATAGCCTATTGCCCCTAGGCTACAAACCTATACAGCATGCTACTGTACTAAATACTGTAGGCATTCGTAACACAATGGTGAATATTCGTGTATCTAAACATAGAAAAGGCACAAAGCACCATATTATAATCCTGTGGCACCACTGTGGTATACATTTGTCATTGACCAAAACATTGTTAGCAGCGCATACCTATATCACTACTTAAATTACTCATCTATTAGAGAAATAGGTAATTGTCAAAGTTTTGAAAACTTTGTATTGATTACATGATGAAATGTCTATAATCCATAGTGGTTTTCTGGTAGGCTTAGGGATAAAACAGTGTAAATATGCATTTCGGTAATGAGTAAGCTGAGCAATCCAGAATTAGGAGATGCCTGAATATGAGTGACTAAGATGTCATAGCTCACATCATGATTTGTGACATAGTCTCCAACTATGTCAATTAACAACAATGGGGGTTAAGATTTTAAAAAGTAAACATTTTGCCAAGGTAGACCTTATTAATACTTATTATTTCACATATAGTCAGGGAAAAAAATGCAGAAACCTTGCATTTTTAGATGCATCATCTGTCTTTTTTTTTAATGCTGCCACTCAAAATGCAGTGCCTGCCCAATAAATTGCTGATAAACAGACAAAGGCTGAGCTCCTATTGACTTCATGAGCAAGTAATTCAGGTTTAGAGCTGCTACTTATGTGTAGGCCATTCTAAAATGTTAGAAATTAAGCATGACTTGCATTTTTAAACCAGAGTGTATTATTGAGAAAAACTGTGAAGGTTATTGATAGAAAGGAAAATATAAGCATAGCCTATTTCTTTTTTTGTATTTCAACACCACTGAATTTTAAAGTTAGTTTTACTTACCTGTAAATGTTATAATAACACCCAAGCTGCTACTTTTTGTATATGTGATAGAAGGATGCCAGGACGAAATTTGTATCCAGCACAGAAACATATAAATGTAATGCTCTTTTGCATGAAATCTACCAAGGTTTCTAAATATTAATGGAGTGTTTTAAGGTACCTTATCATTTTGGAGGAAATTCTAATAAGCAGTCAAATGTCTAAAATTAGGCAATTGATAGAAGGAAAAATAGAAAGAAAAAACACAGGTAATTTACTAATTGAAAATCTACCCCAAGTAATTGAAACTACTGCTCTTTTCCATTATAACTATCTAAGGAGAAAGCACATTTAAAATTAGAATGGAATTTTAAAATGAATTAAATAATCACTCACCTTTAAGTAAATATAATTAAAAATACGGCACTTGACTAGTTATCTTACTTATATTTACAATTCTCTTTTTTTTGTGACTGTTTTGGATCTTACAGAATCTAGGGCTGTTATATTATCTCTCAAATTCTTTCCTCCCCTAAAGCTTTAGCCTCAAAAGGGCAATTTCATTTATGACTATGAAATGTCTGGTTGGCTTTCACACAATAACTATGTTGTGAAAGTAGAGAAAAAGTATTAAAGTACAGTATTTAAAAAATAATTACCTATAGAACTTGTAGAAAAGAAACGATCATGTCTATAAATACTCATTTACACTTAAAGACTTAGACTCAAATATTAAAAT